GCTGGCTGAGGAATTCTGGGAGTTGAAGTCCACAAGTCTTAAAGTTGCCAAGGTTGGACACCCCTGCTCTATATCATTGCAGACAAATAGTTGTCCAATCTCTTAAAAACCTCCAGTGTAGGAGAATTCACAACTTCTGGTGATAAGCTGTTAACATTGATTAATTGTTCCAACTGTCAAGGAAACTTCTAATTCTAGCTTTGTTCTGTCCTTGATTAGTTTCCATCCACTGCTTCTTGGCCTTCTGGTGCTTTGGAGAATAGCTTGACTCCCTCTTCTTTGGGGCAGCCCCTCAGATATTGGAAGACTGCTATCCTGTCTCCCCTGGTCCTTCTCTTCATTAAACTAGACATACCCAGTTCCTGCAACCGTTCTTCATATGTTTTAGCCTCCAGTCCCCTAATCCTCTTTGTGGCTCTTCTATGCACTCTTTCCAGAGTCTCAGCATCTTTTTTACATTGTGGAGACCAAAACTGGATGCAGGATTCCAAGTGTGGGCTTACCAAGGCCTTATAAAGTGGTATTAACGCTTCACATGATCTTGATTCTATCCCCCTATTAATGCAGCCTAGGACTGTGTTGGCTTTTTGGGCAGCTGCAGCACACAGCTGGCTCCTATTTAAATGATTGTCCTAGATGGTTGTGGCCTCCATCCTGACTTTTTAGATGTCCTTATGGCGCTGGGTACAGTATTGGATATTTTTCCTGCACCTTAGGTGGAAATGCAGATGAAAACTACAGTAAAGAAATAATGCACAATTGTGATTTGAAGCCAAGATGTTGATTAAAGCTAAAATTGTGATTTAAGCCATGATCGCCATTTAAGCCATGATTAAAATATAAACCACGATTGTAATTTAAGGTCCCTTACTTTAGAAGTGCAGAGCCAGGGAAGATTTATTTTGGGGGGGGGGGGGGTTGGTGGAGCTGGAGTGGTGACTTACAAATGCAGAGGTTCCCAGCAGAGCGAAGTGATCCACTTAGAGTGACCCACCAAGATACGGCCAATCTGGATCCCGGTGCTTGGATCCCAGAGCATTATCTGCATAGAAAGTTCATGTGGGATACGTTAAGAAAACACCTTCTCAAAATGGTTTATGTGTTTGCGCAGAGGTGGCTAAATCAACTGTTTTGATTAAAGAAAAGGAAAAAAAACACAATTACTTTTGTTTCCACTTAGAAACCATTTCTGGACTTTGTGCTCGATTTTGGGTTTTACCGGTTAGATAGATTTGTTGATATAGAAATGGCTAGTTTATACTACTATGTAAAAGTAAAAAAAGGTGAGCTTTAATGCCCCAAAGGTGCTTTTTTGCAAGAGGCAACTGGACTTTCTGGTTTTTCTTCGAAGACGTTTCGCTTCTCTTCCGAGAAGCTTCTTCCACTCTGACGTAGGGAATGGAAGGATTGATACTCCTGGAATGACCCAAAGGGGCGTGGCACAAAGGCAACACAGTCCCATAAGTAACAAGAGTCCCTTTAGTACCTCCAACTTTGCCCCCAATGTCCAGTTACCTTCGGCTGGAGAAAAAAACTCTCCCAAGAACAGTCTTTAAGTGGAGGAAATTCAGTCGGAAAACAAACCGTAAATAAAAATCCACACAAACCATGCTGCAGTAATTAACTTGACAGGGAAGGAGAAGGAATTGCAGACTTGAAAGGCCGGCAAAGCACACACTGTTGGGAAGATGCCAGGAACCCAGATAAGCCTCAACAATACCAGATAATTCACGATTTGCTCTCAACAGTTTGCTCTGCGCAACTTCCCTTTTTAAACACTGTGTTCCCAGTTGCAGCTAATGAAGGGAATCAGGGCCCTTTCCTCCCCCGTAAGCCATGCAACTCATGTTGCTCCCTTTTCCGTTCCTCCCTGCGTGCCCTAGGATTAAGAGGGGGTGGGCCTGGCTCTTCCTCTGAACTCCCTCTCCCTTGTTCTACCTCTCCCCTGCTCTGCCCAGCCCATCTGTGCCCTTCCCCGGTTCCTTCCACAGCCAAAAGAGCCACACTCCCACTGCCTGTCAGCTGCTCGACCTCCCCCTCCAAATCAGATTCCGACAGGGGCATAACAACTCCTTGCAGACAGCTGGTCATTTGCATCCTTTTAGAGGGTTCTTGAGGCCACTTGGAGGTTTCCCTGTGTCTTCCTGGTCACCTGAATAGTGCAAATGGGTGTGGAGCCTTCTTGGAACTGTTGTAAAATGGCTCCATACCCATCTGCACCACTGAGGAAAACAGAAACAAAGCCGAAACGAGTACTTACCTGCCCGTTCTTGCACCCAGATGCCAGTTTCCTTCCGTCGGGCGACCAAGCAATGCTCAGCACCCAATGACGGTGACCTGTGGAGGTATGAAGGAGGGAGAGTTACTGGACAAAGTCCACCAGTCAACGAAACCAAAAGATTTTAAAATGCTTACTTTAAGTCAGTGTTACTCAACTGTGGTCCCTTTAAGACACCTGGACTTCAAATCCCAGAATCCCCCAGCCAGCATGGCATAGAGCAGTGTTTTCGCAACCGTGGCTCCTTTAAAATGGGTGGACTTCAACTCCCATAATTCTCCAATCAGCGCTGCATAGAGCC